TCAACGCAGCCAACAGGCAGTATAGCAAGAAGAACAGTATCACTTGCTACAACTGCAACAAACAAGAACACATAGCACGCAACTGCTATCAACCCCGGAAGAACAAATGGCAACCAGTCCAGGAAGGACGCCAGGTGAATGTCGCTCGATGATAGGAACCCAATCAACTGAGCAAAAACACTCCCTCGGAGCAAGTGTCGGACTCTGTCGATCACGGAAGTCTCAGCTGGATATTCTGCTATAACAACAACTGCTTAACACACCTCTCGAGTAAGGAAGGTTCAGGATGGTTCCCTCAGAAACCTAGGCGCTGCAGACAAATAGCAACAGCAGAACGAGAGTGCACGCCCAGCACCCCCACGAATAGCAACTCGGACTGCTCTGACATCGTGGAACAGAGCATCCAGTCGTTGGAAGAAGGGCTTAGCAACAATACCCTTCAATGTTCTTCATCGCCTACGCCAAGCACCATGACCAGGGACATGGATAAGGGATGGTATCCTCTTGGCTACTGGTACGAACATCTAAGCAACATAGAGAATGCTTCTCAAGCAACAGAAGGATCAGGCCAGAGCAAACAACCTAGCAGCCTGCAAAAGCTCCCCGCGAACAACACGCCCAACAAGCCTAAAGGAAGGTTTCCCTTCAGCATTGGGTGGAATAAGGAAACAATATGGATCGAATATCTCGTCTACAGAATAGGGCTGGAAGAGCTCTTCACCTACATCTCCTTGCAGAACATCGAGGCATGAGAAGACGAGGATTCTCAGATCAGCCCACTTCACAATCTACACCACGAATTGGCTTGGATCTCCTGTACCTATCATAGCTGCAGAACGCATTTCTCGGAGAAGGTGCAACACGAATGGTTCTCCATCAGAGAACCAGAACAAATCCTTCAGGCTGTTGAAGAACAGGAACTCCGTTTCAGAGAGGTTCTCAACAGACAGCACTACAACGCATACATCGAACTATCAGACAACTGCTCCAAGCAATGCATGAACAAAAAGATAAAATGGTGGCAGTGCGAAACAATACTCTGCACGATTCACATCAATGACAAGGTTTGCAACTAGCATTAACAGAAGAAAGACTAGGAACAATGATGATATGGGCAGAGGCAAGCTAAGAAGCTTGCTCAAGAAGCAGCAAGGCAGGCTCAGAAGAACAGATAGTTCTTAACAAACTCAAAAGAACAGGATTGCCTGTAAAGGGACTGCAGACGATCAGACTGGAATGGTTTCTATATGAAGCTTCTAGAACAGATTATGCTTATATCAAGTTCGATATATACATTCAAGGATACAAATACAGCGCATTATTGGATAGTGGTGCTTAGGGAAACTTCATATTCCTATACATTATCAATCAGGCATAACTACAATGGAAATGGAAGAGACGCCCATACACCCTCAGCACTGTAGAAGGACAATCTATTGCATACAATCAAGGAGTAATCAATAAGGAGACTGATCATCTACCCATCTTGATTCAAGGATGTATAACCAGGGCTTCCTTCGATATCACGGAAACAGCACAGCATGAGCTGATTATGAGGCTTCCATGGCTCAAGGAGCACAATCCTCGAATCGATTGAACTACTGGCCAGATCTCATGGGAGAAAGCTGTACCCAGAGAGATAGTCACAATCAACGGCGCAGGATCGAAGCCAGTGGTTGAAGAACACTCAGGAAAAGAGGCTTCACACGACTTCCCACATACCTCCAAGTCAGCAGGGCTGGCAGTTCAAGGAGAAGGACCTAGTAACAAGCGAACCCAAACAGTGCCAGGGTGCCAACAGGTTAGCAAAACAACGGAAGCGAGACCCTCAGCAAGTCGGTCCGCCCCGGAGCGATAAGGAAAAGCTTCAGAATGTGGATTGTGGACCCACACGGGAAAAACCTCGAAACCAGGCCCTCGAGCGCTCGGTCCGGCCCGGAGCGAACGCTCAAGGCCCTCGAAAACGCCATCAGAAAAGAAGCATGCTCAACGGTACCTACTGTTCCTCCAGGTAGCAGAAACAGCATAAGAACCAGAACTAACACTCGCAAACATACCACGAGAATATCACAAGTTCAAGAAACTGTTCCAGGAAGAATTGGATACGGGATTGCCAGAACACAGCCCATACAACCACGAGATCCCGCTACAAGAAGGGAAACAGCCCAAATTCTTCCCCATCTACAGACTAGACAAAGCACGACTAGAGGCACTTAGGGAGTATCTCGACGAGAACCTTAAGAAAGGATACATACAACCATTGCGATTACTAGCAGGATATCCCATCCTGTTTATACTCAAGAAGAATAGCAAGCTCAGGCTATGCATTGACTACAGGCAACTCAACAACATCACAATCAAGAACTGATATCCGTTGCTACTCATCAAGGAACTATGAGATAGATTGCAAGGAGCACAATGGTTTATAGTTCTAGATCTAAAAGAAGCTTACAACCTGATCAGAGTAAAGAAAGAAGAAGAATGGAAGACTGCTTTCAGAACACGCTACGGATACTACGAATATTTGGTCATGCTCTTTGGTTTAATGAACGCCCCAGCTTCGTTCCAGGAAATGATCAATCATATTCTACGCAAGCATCTGGATCAGTTCGTCATTGCCTACCTCGACAACATCCTTATTTACTCTCGAACACTTGAAGAATACAAGAAACATGTGGAAACAGTGCTGCAAATGCTCCAGGATGCGAAACTCCTTGTGGAACCCGCAAAGAGCTACTTTCACATACAAAAAGTCAACTACCTCGGATTCACAATCGAGCCAGGATGCATCAAGCCACAGAAAGATAAGGTGGAAGCTGTCAGGAACTAGCCAATTCCTAGGAACGTCAGGGATGTTAGGTCTTTCCTCGGATACATCAACTTCTACAGGCAGTTCATTAAGAACTACAGCCGGATCGCACACCCTCTTACAAATCTCACCAAAAAGGAACAGCCTTTCGAATGGACCTCCAAGGCACAAGAAGCCTTCGACGAGATCATCAGACATGTTACCTCAGAACCAGTTCTGTATGAAGCAGACTTCTATAAACCCTTTGAAGTTGAAACCGATGCATCGGGATATGCACTTGGAGGACAACTTGGTCAGCGAGACAACCAAGAACGTCTAAGGATTGTAAGCAACTTCTCAAAGAAGTTGAATAGCCCGGAAATCAACTACGGGATCCCTGATCAGGAGCTCATGGCAATAGTAAAGGCCTTCGAGGAGTGGCAATACTACCTCATTAGCGCGCAACACCCGATCACAGTCCACTCGGATTACAAGAATCTGACTACATTCATGACAACCAAGGTTTTGAACAAGCAACAAGTCAGATGGGCAGAATTCCTCTCACAGTTCAACTTCAAAATTGTACACTGCAAAGGCTCGGAGAACGGACGAGCAGACGCTCTCAGCAGAAGATCAGACTATCGAGATGCAGATTCTTCGGATATACAGAACATCTTCATCCAGAACGAGTCGGGAAACCTCGTTAACGCACATAGAGAACTGAACGCTGCTCTCAGGATCGGACCCTTAGAAAGGGATCCAGAATCAATAACTCCAGACGAATAAGACAGCTACATCAGAGATGTACATGGTGCACCAGCACACGGATACCAAGAAGTCAGAGCAACCTACGAACGCATCAAAAGACACTGGAACTCACCAGATCTTAGGAAAAGAATTGAGAGCATCCTACAACAATGCAATAGCTGCAAGAAGAACAAAGCAGAAAGATACAAGCCTTACGAACTACTGCATCCCTTACTAGTACCTACAACTGTTTAGCAATCCATCAGTCTAGACTTCATTATTAAGCTACCTCTCTTACGAGAACCCTTAACTAAGATGCAATACAATAGCATCCTAGTAGTGATTTGCAGATTGAGCAAGTATGCTTACTTTCTCCTCTATAAGAAAAGCAGTATAGCAGAAGAACTCGCATATGCGTTTCTCAGAATAATCATCGCTAACTATAGCATACCAGAAGAAGTAATCTCCAACAGAAACAGAAAGTTTAACTCAAAGTTTTGGACTTCACTCATGAAACAGCTCGGAATACACTACAGGATGTTTACAGCATTCCACCCGCAAACAGATGAACAGATAGAAAGAATGAATCAGGTTGTTGAACAGTACCTTCAACACTATATCAACCAGGAACAGGACAATTGGGTCGATCTGTTGCCTCTCGCACAGTTCGCTTATAATAGCGCGAATACAAGCACAACGAAGAAATTACCGTTCTTCACGCTCTACAGATACAACCCAACAGCTTACTACAAGGCACTGCAGGGAGCAGATGCAGAAGCTGCGGATAAAAGGGTTAAGAAGATCAAGAAAGTTCAGGAAGAACTCCGATCAGAACTACAATTCGTCCAGAAACGAATGGTACGATATGCAAACTCCAAGAGGATTGAGGGACCAATCCTACAGAAGGGAGATAAGGCCTACCTACTTCAAAAAAACATCAAAACAACCAGACCCAGCGACAAACTCGACCATAAGAAGTTGGAACTATTCAAAATCTTGCAACAGATTTCCCCAGTTAACTATGAGTTAGCATTATCTCATGGGATGAGAATATACCCGGTTTTCCACATCTCACTGCTGGAACCAGCAGCACAGGAAATACCAGCGGACAACACAGCAGAAGTAGAAAACAACGAACCAGAGTATGAGGTGGAAAAGATCCTCAAGCATAGAGGCACGGACAGCACGAGGGAATATCTCGTCAAATGAAAAGGTTACCCAGCAAGCGAAAACTCTTGGGAACCGAAGAAAAACGTTAAAAATGCTCAGGAAAAGGTAGCTGAATATTGGAAAAGAAAACCACTACTTAAGACCTCTCCGCCCCGGAACGAGAATCAGGCGCTGCAGTTTCACTCTCCAGAAGGGAAGGCCAACCAGACACGCTAGGATCAAGGGCCAAGGAACTCCAATCGATAACCTCAAGATGTCCCTGAAACATCAGGCGAGTCTCCTCCTCACGAAGACTGCGATCCTCCTCATCAGCGAACCCCTCCAAGGAATTGAAGCCACGACGAATCATTTCTGCAGCACGTTCCTCCAACAGCTTTCGCTGTTTCCGCGCACGATCAAGACGAGCCTGCGATGCTAACAAGGCTTGTAGGGCAGCAGCGTTTGCTGACTCCGCCTCAGCCTCCTCGCTCAAAACCTTGCGCTTTTCGCGAATCAAACGCCCCGCTGAAGAAGAAAATCAGTAACCACGGAGAACACCAAGGAACGAAGAAACCAACCAGCAGAGGCTGAAAAACGACCAGTATTACAGCTTTGATCCAGAGAAACATACTTCCCACAACGAGAAGAGTTTTCAGCGAAACGACAGAAAGCCCCCGTCTCCCGACAATGAGCACAAGCAGGCATTTCAACACCAAAAGCAGAAATAAGCTCAGCAAAACGATAGCGCTCTTGAGTTTTTACCGAACGATTAGAATGCAATTTATTGATTCTGTTCAACATCTCGATTAGGAAGACATAATCATGCATACGAAAGACTTGCCAGAATACTTACGGAAGATCGTTAGGAACAACAATCGATAGGAGAGAAATAATGTTATAACCCATCCAACATGCAGATTATCAGCCAGAATACTCGGAACAACTGTCCGAAAGATAGGGAAGGATTCAACATCTTAATAACTAAGGCTTACATAAGCAAGGGTTAGGATTACAGGATCAGAATGGATCAGTAGCTGATCTATGGTAATCCGGATCAGTTGGATCACCCAGGTGATCCCAGTGATCCAACAGCCAACACTACTGATAGGACTGAAGAGCTGGACATATAAGGACACGTTCATTCCCATTAGATAAATCTCGTACATAGCTCTTCAGTTGTCAATCTAAGTATTCAGTTTCATATACTGAGTAGCCCCAAAGGCAGTGAATACTTGCATCGCTTATTAAGACTTGTACGGTTCCGTATTCAAGGACTTGACACTTCGACACCGCTCTTGTTAGCATAAACCCCTTTGTGTACTTAGGAATCTTCGGATTGCTGCAGTGCTCATTACAAATCTGATACTTAGATTGATAACTGAAGAGCTATATTCTGGTAGTCTATCCGATAATAATAAGCGTGCTCTTATATATCCTACTCTTCAGTAAGGATATGCTGGATAGCAACATATTCAAGCTATTCTGCTAGCCTTGGATAGCATATATTCCAAGCTATTCATTCTGATTGGTTATGCTCATAACTCTAATCCTGGATTATGTAGTCAATGCCTGGTTGGAGCGTGGGGTTCCCGACACCTGGTTCTTGCTTGCTCGTGACCTGCATGTTGGATGGGTTATAATAATATAGCTCTTCAGTTATTAATCTAAGTATTTAACTATCACATACTTGAATAGCTCCAAAGGCGAATGAACAGCACTTGCATGGATTACAGTACTCGTTCCGTATTCCAGCGGTTATTACCTTAATACCGCTCTTGTTAGCATAAACCCCTTGTGTATATCAGAATCTTCGGATACTGCAGTGCATCATTACATATAATGTAATGAGCACTGCAGCAATCCGAAGATTCCAAAGTACACAAAGGGGGTTTATGCTAACAAGAGCAGTGTCAAAGTGCCAAGTCCTTGAATACGGAACCGTACAAGTCTCAGTAAGCGATGCAAGTATTCACTGCCTTTGGAGCTATCAGAGTAGAGAGTAATCTGATACTTAGATTGACAACTGAAGAGCTACATATGAGATCTATCTAATGGGAATGAATGTGTTCTTTATATATCCAGCTCTTCAGTTCTGTTGATAGTATTGGTTGTTGGATTACTTGGATTATTTAGATAATCCAACTGATCCGGATTACTATGGATCAGCTACTGATCCATTCTGATTCTGTAATTCTAATCCTTGCTTATGTAAGCCTTAGTTCTTAAGATGTTGAATTCTTCTCTGTCTTTCGGATAGTTGTTCCGAGTATTCTGGCTGGTAATCTGCATGTTGAATGGATTATAATATCATCTTCCTTCTATTAATTATTGTTTCTAATAATCTTTCGTAAGTATTCTAGCAAGTTATTTGCATATATAGTTATATCTTTCTAATTAAGATGTTGAATAGAATTAACAAATTGCATTCTAATTGTTCGATGAAAACTCAAGAGCGTTATTATCTTGCTAAGCTTATTTCTGCTTTTGATATCGAAATGCTTGCTTGTGCTTATTGTCGGAAGATGGAAGCTTTCTGTTGTTTCGCTGAAAATTCTTCTCGTTGTAAGGAGTGTGTTTCTCTGAATCAAAGCTGTGATACTAGTTGTTTCTCAGCTTCTGCTGGTTGGTTTTCTTTGTTCCTTGGTATTCTCCGTGATTACTAATTTTCTTCTTCAGCAGGGCGTTTGATTCGTGAAAAGTGCAAGATTTTGAGCGAGGAGGCTGAGGCAGAGTTAGCAAATGCTGCTGCCCTACAAGCTCTGCTGGCGTCGCAGGCTCGTCTTGATCGTATACGGAAACAGCGAAGGCTATTGGAGAAACAGGCTGCAGAAATGATTCGTTGTAGTTTCAATTCCTTGGAGGGATTCGCTGATGAGAAGGATTGCAGTCTTCGTAAGGAGGAGACTCGTCTGATGTCTCAGGGACATCTTGAGGTTATTGACTGGAGTTCCTTGGCTCTGGATTCTAGCGTGTCTGGTTGGCCTTCCCTTCTGAAGAGTGAAACTGCAGCGCTTGATTCTCGTTCCGGGGCGGAGAGGTCGTCCTAAGCGCTGGTTTCTTTCTTCTTTCAATACTCAGCTACCTTCTCCTGAGCGTTTTTGACGTTTTTCTATGATTCCTATGAATTTTCGCTTGCTGGGTAACTCTTTCATTTGATAAGGTATTCCCTCGTGCTATCCGTGCCTCTATGCTTGAGAATCTTTTTCACCTCATACTCTGATTCATTGTTTTCTACTTCTGCTGTATTATCCGCTGGTGTTTCCTGTGCTGCTGATTCCAGCAGTAAGATGTGGAAAACTGAATATATTCTCATTCCGTAAGGTAGTGCGAGTTCGTAGTTAACTAGGAAGATTCTTCGTAAAATTTTAAATAATCCTAATTTCTTATAATCGAGTTTGCTGCTAAGCCTGATCGTTTTGATATTTTTGCGAAGTAGATATACTTTATCTCCCTCTTATAAGATTAATCTCTTAATCCTTTTGAAGTTTGTATAGCGTATTATTTGTTCTTGAATGAATTGTAGTTCTAACTGAAGTTCTTCTTGAATCTTCTTGATTTTCCTAACTCTTTTGTTTGCAGCTTCTGCATCTGCTTCTTGCAATGCCTTGTAATAAGCTGTTGGATTGTATCTATAGAGCATGAAGAATGGTAATTTCTTTATTATGCTTATATCTGCGCTATTGTAAGCGAATTATGCTAGGAGTAATAAATCAATTCAGTTATTCTGCTTCTGATTGATATAGTATTGAAGATATTGTTTAATAACTTGATTTATTCTTTCTGTTTGTTTGTTTGTTTGGGAATGAAATGCTGTAAATATTCTGTATTGTATTCCGAGTTGTTTCATAAGCAAGATTTAAAACTTCAAGTTGAACTTCCTATTTCTATCAGAAATTACTTCTTCTAGTATGCTGTAGTTAGCAATGATCGTTCTGAGGAATGTATATGCGAGTTCTTCTGCTGTACTGCTTTTCTTGTATAGGAGAAAGTAAGCATACTTGCTCAGTCTGCAAATTACTACTAGAATGCTATTATATTGCATCTTAATTAAGAGTTCTTGTAAGAAAAGTAGCTTGATAATAAAGTTTAGATTGATGGATTGCTAAATAGTTATAAGTACTAGTAAGGAATGCAGTAGTTTGTAAAGCTTATATCTTTCTGCTTTATTCTTCTTGCAGCTATTGTATTATTATAGAATATTCTTAATTCTTTTCCTAAAGCTTAGTAGATTTCAGTATTTTTTAATGCATTTGTAAATTGCTTTGATTCTCTGATATCTGTATGCTAGTGCATTGTATACATTTCTGATATAGTTGTTTTGTTCTTTTGGAGTTATTAATTCTGAATTCTTTTCCGAAGATTCAATTCTGAAAGCAGCATTCAGTTCTTTATATGTATTAATAAGGTTTTCTGACTTATTTTGAATAAAGATGTTCTATATATCTGAGGAATCTGTATCTTGATAGTTTGGCTGTCTGCTAAAAGCATCTGCTTGTTTGTTTTCTAAGCTTTTGTAGTATATAATCCTGAAGTTGAATTATAAAAGAAATTCTGTTTATCTAACTTATTGCTTATTCAAGACTTTGATTATTATGAATATAATCAGATTTTTGTAATCTGAGTGAACTATAATCGAATGCTGTGCGCTGATGAAGTAGTATTGCTATTCTTCAAAAGCTTTCACTATTGCTATAAGCTTCTAATCAGGGATTCTGTAGTTGATTTCTGAGCTGTTTAACTTCCTTGAGAAGTTGCTTACAATCCTTAGATACTCTTGATTGTCTTATTAATCAAGTTGTTTTTCGAATGCATATTCCGATACATCAGTTTCAATTTCAAAGAGTTTGTAAAGATCTGCTTCATACAGAACTGGTTCTGAGATAATGTATTCAATGATCTTATTAAAAGCTTCTTATATCTTGGAAATTTATTCAAAGAGCTGCTCTTTCTTGGTAAGATTTGTAAAGAGATGTGCAATTCAGCTGTAGTTTCTGATGAACTGTTTGTAGAAGTTGATATATTCAAGAAAAGATCTGATATTTCTGATATTCCTAAGAACTGGCTAATTTCTGATAGCTTCTATCTTGTCTTTCTGTAGCTTGATGCATTCTGGCTTGATTGTAAATCCGAGATAGTTGATCTTTTATATATGAAAGTAGCTCTTTGCAGGTTTTACAAGGAGCTTCGCATTCTGGAGCGTTTGTAACACTGTTTCCACATATTTCTTATATTCTTCAAGTATTCAAGAGTAAATAAGAATATTATTGAGATAAGCAATAATAAACTGATTTAAATACTTGTATAGAATATAATTAATCATTTTCTGAAATGAAGCTAAAGTATTTGTTAAATCAAAAAGCATAATCAAATATTCGTAGTATTTATAGCATATTCTGAAAGCAGTTTTCCATTCTTTTCCTTTCTTTATTCTAATTAGATTATAAGCTTTTTTTAGATTTAGAACTATAAATCATTATACTCTCTGCAATCTATCTTATAGTTTCTTGATAAATAGCAATAGGTATTAGTTCTTAATTGTAATATTGTTAAGTTGCTTGTAATCAATATATAGCCTGAGCTTGCTGTTCTTCTTGGGTATGAATAGGATAGGATATTCTGCTGGTAATTGCAATGGTTGTATATATTCTTTCTTGAGATTTTCGTTGAGATATTCCCTGAGTATTTCTAGTTATGCTGCATTTAGTTTGTAGATAAGAAAGAATTTAAGCTATTTTTCTTCTTGTAGTGAGATCTCGTGGTTATATGAGCTATATTCTGGTAGTTCTGTATCCAATCCTTCTTGGAATAGTTTCTTGAACTTGTGGTATTCTTGTGGTATGCTTGCGAGTGTTGGTTCTGATTCATGTGCTGTTTCTGCTATCTGGAGGAACAGTAAGTACCGTTAAGCGTGCTTCTTTTCATTCGTTGTTTTTGGTGATGTTTTTGAGAGCTTTGAGCGTTCGCTCCGGGCCGGACCGAGCGCTCGAGGGCCTGGTTTCGAGGTTTCTCCTATGTGAATTTGCAATTCACTTTCTGAAGCTTTTTCTTGTTACTCCGGGGTAAACCGACTTGCTGAGGGCTTCGCTTTCGTTGTTTTGCTAACCTGCTGATGCCCTGGCACTGTTTGGGTTCGCCTGTTACTAGGTTCTTCTCCTTGAATTGTTAGCCCTGCTGGTTTGGAAGTATCTGTGAAGTCGTTTGAAGCTTCTTTTCCTAAGTGTTCTTCAACAACTGGCTTCAATCCTGCGCTGCTAATTGCAACTATCTCTCTGAATACAGCTTGTTCTTATAAGAGCTAGCCAGTAGTTCAATCGATTCAAGAATTGTGCTTCTTAAGCTATGAAAGTTCTATAATCAGCTTATGCTGTGCTGTATCCGTGATATTAAAAGAAATCTGGATTGTATGTTTCTGAATCAAGATAAGTAGATGATTAGTCTTCTTATTGATTACTCCTTGGTTGTATGCAACAGATTATTCTTTTACAGTGCTGAGGGTATATGAATATCTCTTTTATTTCTATTATAGTTATGCCTGATTGATAATATATAAGAATATGAAGTTTCTCTGAGCATCACTATCTAATAGTGCGCTGTATCTGTATTCTTGAATGTATATGTTGAACTTGATGTAAGCATAGTCTGTTTTGAAAGCTTTATATAAGGATTGTTCCGATCTGATTATCTGCAGTTTCTTTACAAGCAATCCTGTTCTTTTGAATTTATCAAGAGCTGCTTATTCTTCTGAGCCTGCTTCGCTGCTTCTCGAGCAAGCTTCTTAGCTTGCTTTTGCTTATATCATTATTATTCCTAATCTTTCTTCTATTAATACTAGTTGCAAACTTTATTATTAATATGAATTATGCAGAATATCATCTTACACTGCTATTATTCTATTTTTTTATCTATATATTGCATAAAGCAATTATTCAGTAGCTTAATATATGCATTATAATATTGCTTATTGAAAACCTTTCTGAAGCAGAGTTTCTGTTCTTCAATAGCTTGAAGGATTTGTTCTAATTCTCTAATGAGGAACTATTCGTATTGCATCTTCTCCGAGAAATGCATTCTGCAGCTATAATAGGTGCAGGAGATTCATGCTAATTCGTAGTATAAGTTGTGAAATAAGCTGATCCGAGAGTTTTCATCTTCTTATATCTCAATATTTTGCAAGGGAATGCAGATGAAGAGCTTCTCTAGTTCTATTCCATAGATAAAATATTCAATCTATATTATTTTCTTGTTCTATCTAATACCAAAGGGAAATCTTTCTATAGATTTCTTGGGTTTATTATTTATGAAAGACTCTGATGAACTATTGAATCGCTCGTTCTAGCTTAATCTTTCTATTGCTTGAGAAGTGTTTTCGGTATTATTTAGGTATTTATACTAATAACTAAGAAGATACTATCCTTTGTTCATATCCCTGATTATAGTGCTTAGCATAAGCAATGAAGAATGTTAAAGGATATCATTACTAAGTTCTTCTTTCAATGCCTGAATACTCTATTCCGCGATATCAAAGCAGTTCAAGTTGCTACTCGTAAGAATGCTAAGCATGCATTCTCGTTCTGCTATTGCTATTTGTCTGCAGCGCTAAGGCTTCTGAAGGAACTATTCTGAATCTTCCTTACTTAAGAGATATATTAAGCAGTTATTGTTGTAGCAGAATATTCAGCTAAGACTTCCGTAATCAATAGAATTCAATACTTGCTCCAAGGAGGTATTTTTGCTTAGTTGATTGGATTTCTATTATTAAATGATATTTATCTAGTATTCTTTCTGAACTGATTGCTATTTATTCTTCCGGAATTGATAGCAGTTGCATGTAATATATTCTTATTTATTGCAGTTATAGCAA